TGTTTGCGAGGTTACAAATTGTAAATTTAATGGGAAAATAGTTTGAAATTTAAGTTCGGGTTTCGATGAAATACTGGCCGCGGGCATCAGTTACGAGTGAATACATGGCAACTGTACTGAAATCAGTTTAATAGGCCTTTTTATGCAATTTTTTATCATTGACATTGTCAAAAATGCTAGTTCAACTCAAATGCTAGTTATCAACTCAAAGACATTAACACCCCAGGAGAGAATAGTAGCTATATGGTTAAAATAACCACATATTATTTGCAGCACCCTGGGAAGAGATTGAAAAAAACATAAAATTGACAATTGTTGTTGTCATTGTGAAAACGTATGCTGAAATTAATGTATTTGTCATGATATTTATTAGTGGCATCAACCTAAGATTTGCGAGCAAAAGAGCCCGCACGAATAAATCACATGCACGCTGAAAATTGTAAACGACATTTATCATGCCCATGCAGTTTAGAAATTCTCTTTTATAGAATTTATCATGCCTCAGTTTAGAAATTCTTTTTTATAAATTATAGCATTGGAAGTGACACATTTATATAATTATTTCTGACTAATCATACCGTTTGCATGTCACTTCTTGAAATAAACATTTGTTCCAAATAGATGATTTCAGCCATAGACTAAATTTTGATCTCGGCAAGAAGAACAAAATCCATCACCACAGCTAGAAAGAGCATGCTAAAATTAGTAAAATTGCAAATTTGTTCGCAAAATGTTGTAAAATGCGGAAAATATATAGTCCTGCGAAATTTGCAAATTTTCTATTAATTTGCGCGGGAAAATGCACCGTGCGTAATACAAATTAATATTAAATTTGCAAATTTCGTAGGGTTATATTTTCCTCATTTTAAACATTTCGCGACCAAACTTTGTAATTTTACTAATTTTAGCATGCTATTTCTAGCTGATGGATTTTGTTCTTCTTGTCTAGATCAAAATTTAGTGAAAAGTTGGAATCACCCATTGGGAGCGATGTGGTTTTCAAGGGCTTTTTGAAAGAAAGTTAGATTTGTGCAGGTCACATTTTACATTAAGAGGTTCCCAAGAGTACTGATCAAGGACCTCAGCAGATCTGATTTCATAATTTGCTCCAGCTCAATTCTTGCTGCACGATTTCATCCTACATACCGGGCTATCTCGCTAAGAGGACCAGCCCGGTTTCTATATATATAAAACAGCCCCTAATACTAAAGTTTTATGGTTACCTACCCAGATGAAATTGTTCATGGTGTTTGCTAGGGCCTGCATGACATGAGAAAAGATCTCCTTTCTTTTGGCACTTTTGCCTTCTAATAAGGCCCAGGGAATTACACGTGAAACGCTCTATACTGACAGGTCTTGATAGCAAACACCATGCATCGACAATTTCACTATTATTGTATAGACTGTCAATTAAAGGCGAACATTTTCCAAGCTTTTCGAGGTTTCCAAGTAGCCGTATTCCGTAAATATTGATGAAGGCAATTATTTTGTTTTCGCCGAAAATACTGTCATTATTTATGTGAATATTCTATTTTATAATTCGAAAAACGCTCAATCAATCCAAAGTAGGGTACATATTTATAACGTTGTTATTCGGTTCGAGTTTTGAATTAGTTTGATTGGTCATTTTAAATGATCAGCTGTTGTTCCACACAATAAAACCGGAAGCTTACTGTTACTCGGTCGAAAGGTGTGTATATTCAAAAGGTGTGTAAAAGTGGGAAAGGTGTGTAATCAGCAAACGTGTGTAATTTTACACACCCAATGGTGTGTAATGGTACACACCTAAGGTGTGTACTCGTGTATATACAAGGTGTGTATAACTACACACCTTGGCTTCCATATTGTAAAAGATGTGTAATTATACACACCTTTTTTCGAAAAGGTGTGTATTTATACACACTTAATTTGGTGTGTAAAATTACACACTAGTTTTTAGAGTGTACCCGTGCCTAACCCCTCCCCATAAAGGCCCGTTTAGATCTGCAATTTTTGCTGCAATTTTAGGGGCGATTTTCTTCTCTTGATGTGTGTGAACGAGTGGATAAGTTATGAATGTTCACATGAGGGTACAAATATCAGAACATTCATAACTCATCTACTCGTTCACATCCATCAGGAGAAGAAAGTCGCACTAGAATTCGGAGAAAAATTTGCAATTGTAAACTGGCCTTAACCATCTAACCCCCAAATCTAACTCCGAGTTGCGAATCTGCCAGTCTGCAAGTTGCAAGTTAGAAATTAAAATTTTAAATAACGAATATGAATTCTTCCTAATATATCTCTATACTAAGATACAATGACAGCCTTGAATAAACTAAAATAAATTGTTATTAACATAAATGCTCAGTAAACGTTTTAGTTATGCATGGTTGGCATTCTAGTGGAACGGCAGGATTATATTGTACAAGATAAATAAACAACTATATATATGGAATGGGGGTCTATTATACAGGGTGTCCTCCCCAAAACGAAAACTATTGAAATCACTAACCACAATTTAATTGTTAGAATTTGAATGCCTAAGCACTCTGTTGCTTCCCACGAGTGCATAAATGATTGACATAAGTAAATTTTATGCATAAAGAAACTATTCAAGAAGCTGCTTTAAATTCCCAAGAGCAGAAAATCGCGCACTTTACAAGGAGATGTTCTTAACTAAATTTTAATACATGCACCTTGTCAATATTTTACGCATCATTACGTTCAGCTTTATGGTAGGGCATTCAATTCTAACAATAAGTGATTTCAATAGTTTTCGTTTTTTTTTGGGGGGACACCCTGTAGTTTGGCAGTTATGCGCTTTAGGTGCATTTGAGGGCGGTTTACGGTAAAGAAGTACGGTGCCCACAACTGTCACACGATAATATATTTAGCTTCCGCAAATTAAAATTACTCACATCAAATTAAAATTCACTCACATCAAATTAAAATTCACTGGCATCGGTGGTGAAAGATCGTTGAGAATAGGCTATATCAACTTCATTTTAGGACTGTCTGCCATCGCAGAAATAAAGTTTAATGAAGCGTATAGTAAATTTGTCGTCGAGTCAGGCTATCTGCTATAGAAAAATGGTCACTAAAGATGGGAACTGAAGTTCGTAAATTATAGATGCATTCTTACGCAAAAATAAAAATGGCTGATGGAAGTATAGCAACTATAACTATGCAGTGTCGGAACTGTTAATTTATTGTCTATCATGCCCAACCGCAGTTCACGTTTGGGTTTTCAACAAATATTTCCAGGGTGAGAAATTGTGAATTTGTAGTTTCTTTTTAAAAGAGTAAAATTTTGTACTTTATGCATGCAAGGATCTTGGAAGAATGTCGACTGATATCCATAGTAAAGCCATAAAGCATTGCAACATGTGCAAGTTGTTGATCAAACAACAGCAAGACGGTGTAGAAATCTGAAAAGTTTTATTCACCTCCAATTGAAATCAAACTTACAAAAATAATTAACATGAAGCATTGTTCAGTTTGTACTTTTATATCATTACGCTTTAATTTTAATGCTTTGGATAATGGTGCCTGCCGGCAATCCCATGCTTTCCACGTTTGGGTAAGCCTTTCCAGCAACAAGCTCAGCACTTGGGTCGGCCTCGTTCTTTCCTCCGTACACTAACCAATTATCTTTGCCCTCAACTTTGGCAGATTGCGCACCATTGGGAAGCGGTCCACGAGCGGTAATGTCAGAACAGTCCCTTACTTTGTCCTGTAAAGTTAAGAGGAAATTCCTTTTCTTAGGGAATGTGTATTTTCATTCTCTTTTGGACTCTCGGTCATTATTTATGGCGGGAATGGCACTGAAGAGAAAAGGGTTGGGAAAAAAATTTTGAGTGAGTGAGTGAGTGAGTGAAAGGTTGGAGAAATGCAAAACAAAACTACTCCAGGTTTGGGTAATAAAAACTAATCATTTCACAGAAGTGGTAAAGGATGATTTGTCATTTCCAAAGCATGACTCACTCAAATATTGAGGGAAACAAATATGTAAATCAATAAGAGTCAACACCTTGATCATTCTCCGATTTGTCAGGAGGAAAATAGTGTCTCCAGTACGTGTGCAGACAACATGAAACTTTAGACTGCAGAAATTGTACAAGCAGTTATCAAGCTCATGTCACAAAAGTGGTAAAGGTCATGTGTGGCAACTGAAAGGTATCCTTTTGTAAAATTTTTGATCAGATGATTTTTTATATTTTTATATTTTTTTCTTTTTAAATTATGTTGGTTCCGCAAACTTTTTACTCAGAAAAATGTTTTTCTTCGGTGACCGATCCCACAATATTTTTGTGATGTCTAATTAATTACTGATTTAAACCTTTCAAGGGAACACATCTGTTGCTATGTACTTGGAAACTGGAGCCAGCACGCAGCGGCCATATTGGAAAGAAAAAACTCGCATTACAATTTGATGAAGGAAATTTGTCTGATACCATAATTGACTGTCAAACCATATCTTCTCCTTCTCCCTTTTTGTGATGTGACTGACATTTTCAATGGACACGTGGTAGTCGGTGGTCTCTCCAAAATGGCTGCCATTTGCAACAATAAAATCTTAATCCAAGGACTATGAAGATGCGAATTGTCTGTATTTTTAACTTATTTCAAAAGCCTCGTATAGTCTGCTTGCTTGAAAACATTCATTTTCAGGTGGTTTCGTAACAGGCGTTGATTTAAAACCGAACTTAGCGCAAACAAACTTTATCAACTATCCTGCATCAGGGCATTTATTAGGGAATTATGACAACTGGGGTAAAGTATGTAAAGACCCTTTCACCCACGGTGGGATAATTTTCATCGGTGGTGGCGAGCTTCCATTCCTTGTCGTTTCGAACAACTAATATTTGATAACCAGGTCACCGAATAGCAGGGCTTTAAGAATTCGTCAGCGAAGGGGGGCAACTACAAAAAGGGATCATAATATCAGGCTAGGGCATTAGACGCCCTTTCAAGCTATCATGCGAAGGATAATTTAATTTAAAAGAATACACAATACCTTGCAAGGTCCCTCGTAATTTGGTTCCTGGAAGAAAGTAGCCATAATCTAGAAATATAGTAAGGTGTTTATATTTTTCCATGCAATGAGTAATATATACATGGCATGGTGCGAGAAGCCAGCAAGCTGGAATCATGCAATTCAAAATTGTGAAACAAATTTTACCTATATAGACATACAGTATATAAATCATAAAAACTTACAGAATCGGAGAAATATTCTGCTTGTTGCTCTTGATGCTCGTCTTCTTGCTGCTGTCGAATGCTTTGAAAACACGAACAAGTACGCCCTTTTTATAATCCCTCAGTCACGCCCTAATTCAGTTTAGGAATTTGAAATTGCTTTCTAGTTCACTTCACTAATAAAGTAATGATTGATATGAACATCCATATTAGGACAACAATGCAAAAGTGCCCGACAGAAACAGCTGTTGTTTTGTGTGGCATTTTTTATAAATTTCAGTGTACCGGCACATGCAGACAGGCCGGCAATACACCACTTCATAATCTATCACCAAACACCACAGGAGAAGATAATATGGCTAAAATAAGCACATAGATTTGCAGCACCCTAGGAAGAGATTCAAAAACCACAGATAAAAAAAATAGAACAATGCATACAAGTCAGCGTTCTATATGATATTTCAGAGACATATTAGTAGAATGAAAAGCTATATGTTTGTGACAAGCTTTGGAACTCTCTGCCAGGTTTCTATTCGACAGCAAACTCTATATATGCATGCACATTTAATTAATTCAAAATCGAATCATTATTGAAAACTTATATACCTTTCATATGAAACATTTTTAGCTTGTATTTATCTTAAATTATATTAAAACTTTAACAAGCACATATATAGTTAGATCAATCTTACTTGTACATAATATTGAGATATATCGATAAAGCATTGAAACTTGGCCTCAAACTCGGCTTAGCGCAAACAAAATATCCACTATCCTGCATCAGGCCACATGCACAGTTTAGGGAATTTGTACCCTTATCCCCACATAATTTAGTATACATTAATTAACACCATTCTTTGTGAATTTTGTCTAAACATAATGAACCTCAGACAAATAACAGGCAATTAGGTAAAAATAGTAAAATACACAGGTATAATAACAAGAGTAAAGCGATAAAATTATCGGCCTGGTGTGCCTCAATTGAGGTATAACCGCATGTGTCCCGCCAAAAACTATATACCAGATTTGATTTAATTAAAATAGCTTAAAAACTACAACAGCTATCATGATCAAATAATGTTTATGGAACCCATGCAGAAATTGTTGATATTATACAATATATTAAATATTAATTGTCCAAAAAAAAGGACTCGTTTACATGAGACCGGGACGAAGTCAAACGGAATGAAAATTGAAACTGATTGTCGACATGTTTACATGAGACCGGCAAGAAAATCACAAAATTGTCAATTTATTCCCCTTGCCAGGCAATTTTCTTTTTTAGATGGCTTTTGTTAGCATGTCTTGTGCCAATGTACGTCAAGGTTACACCCGATACCGGAACGAAGTCAAACCGGGACATTTCGTTTCGGACATAGTATTATTTATAATAGATGTTTACATGAGACCGGGACGAAAATAATTAACTCATGCAGACAAGTTATTCCGCCTGCTGGACCAAGCCGACTGACTTCAGACCGGCATGAATTCAGACTGGGATGAATGTAAACACAAATACATTTCAGATCGGTCTCGGCTGTAACCTTGACATTGGAACAACACATGCATGCTAACAAAAGCCATCTAAAAAGAAAATTCCCTGGCAAGGGGAAATATAAAGGCCTTAAGATTTTCATGCAATTTTAACTTATATGAATGTTTTAAGTCTAACATTATAACAAACATTTTTGACAATGCTAAAAATGTGCATAAAATCGCTTTAGTTGCATGTGCCATGTGGTCAAAAAACGCATGTACAGTCTACAGAATATTTTTTAAATATAGTATACATAAAGTATGTCCTATATCATGAAGTACATTGCATGCATTGCAGGAAAAATTCTGCATGTCTCCAATGTCGAAGAGTATTCGACAGTTTATTAATGCGAAGACCTCACGACGTTATCTTATTTTTCTTAGGCATTGTTTGTCATTTGTTTGTGCTTTGATTCCCAAAGTTAAGAAGTATCAACAAAATTGTAAACTCTTTAAGACTCTGGTTTGCGAGGTTACAAATTGTAAATTTAATGGGAAAATAGTTTGAAATTTAAGTTCGGGTTTCGATGAAATACTGGCCGCGGGCATAATCACGAGTGAATATACATGGCAACTGTACTGAAATCAGTTTAATAGGCCTTTTTATGCAATTTTTTAGCATTGACATTGTCAAAAATGCTAGTTCGATTTAAAACATTAATATCTCAGTTAATATTGCACAAGAATTAACTTGCATCCGAACAGACTGAAGTCCATATGTAAAACCTAATCGGATTGATCATACTTCGATAAATACTTTGACCTGCAAAGACCTGCATGCATGGACAGGCAACTATCATTTCACAATTTATCAACTCAAAGACATTAACACCCCAGGAGAGAATAGCATATGGCTAAAATAACCACATATTATTTGCAGCACCCTGGGAAGAGATTGAAAAAAACATAGAATTGACAATTGTTGTTGTCATTGTCATTGTGAAAACGTATACTGAAATTAATGTATTTGTCATGATATTTATTAGTGGCATCAAGCTAAGATTTGCGAGCAAAAGAGCCTGCACGAATAAATCACATGCACGCTGAAAATTGTAACCGACATTTATCATGCCCATGCAGTTTTAATAGAAATTCTCTTTTATAGAATTTATCATGCTTCAGTTTAGAAATTATCTTTTATAAATTATAGCATTGGAAGTGACACATTTATATAATTATTTCTGACTAATCATACCGTTTGCATATCACTTCTTGAAATAAACATTTGTTCCAAATAGATGATTCCAGTGATAGACTAAAACGAACAAAATCCATCACCACAGCTAGAAAGAGCATGATAAAATTAGTAAAATTGCAAATTTCTTCGCAAAATGTTGTAAAATGCGGAAAATATAGCCCTGCGAAATTTGCAAATTTTGTATTAATTTGTATTACACGCGGGAAAATGCACCGTGTGTAATACAAATTAATACAAAATTTGCAAATTTCGTAGGGTTATATTTTCCTCATTTTAAACATTTCGCAAAATTTGTAATTTTACTAATTTTAGCATGCTATTTCTAGCTGATGGATTTTGTTCTTCTTGTCTAGATCAAAATTTAGTGAAAAGCTGAAATCACCCATTGGGAGAGGTGTGGTTTTCAAGGGCTTTTTGAAAGAAAGTCAGATTTGTGCAGGTCACGTCTTACATTTTAATGTAATGAGGCATAACTAGAACTAACTTACTTAACTAGTAACTATACTATATATACTTACTTAACTAGTAACTTTTCTTAAAAGAGGTTCCCAAGAGTACTGATCTAGGACCTCACTCACCTCAGCAGATCTGATTTTAGGCCGTTTGCTGCGTCCCGATATCGTTCACTTTCGTTGTGCATGTCGGGTGGAACTGAAATATTTTTACGGGAACTAGCACTTTCGAACACGCTGAGTTCAAATCCGAAAAGTTCCCGCTCCGTAGGTCTTGGGTTTTCTCACAAACTGGTATTTTATTTTCTCTAATTTCACGACTTTTTCTTTGTTCAATGACACGGATGGACGATGACACACTCTTATGTCACTCAAAAGGACTAATTTCTATTAACTATAGTCTTCCTTTTAACAAAAGACCGTTTCGCTCGAATCATTTTGAGTTATATAATCTTACGCGTGTTGGACGTAAACAACATATATTGTTTAGCGATATCTCTATAAAATCACAAGGACGTTAATGCTAAGTCTTTTGCCTATGTCACTGGCCTGATAAATAACTCGTTTAACGCAATCATGGTATTTAAAACAACAGTAACGCTCAAGCCAACGTAACGGCAAAGACAACGCTAACATGAAATATTGTCGATGGGTTGCTTGTTGCTGGTTGAAGACTTACGACAGGATCAATCACAAATAACCTTAAACTAGAAGAATAAATGTACACATTAAAGACAAAGAACAGTACGAAAGTGTAAAATCTGCTCTGTAAACTTACGACGAAGTAGAGAAATGTGTCCATGAGCTGTTTATTCGATGATTTCAACGTATATATGGAAGCCCTTTTCCTAATAATATTCGCTTATCGCGCAGAATGACACCAACTGATATAATAGTCCAAATGCAATGACTAGTTACCTCTTGAATTACGTCTCAGAAACTGTGTTGAAAATTTGAATGCTGACCCATTACATAAGATTACCGTTTTACATCGCGGTATATTTTAGAAGGCGACACCGGCACCTTTCCAAGGTCGTAGACAAGATTTGTTGTTTACGTCCAACGCGCTTAAAATTACATAAGTCATAACTCAAAATGATCCAAGCAAAACGGTCCTTTGTTACATGTAGAGACTGGTTCATAGGAATTAGTCATCTTAAGTTATACATTCGTGTGTCATCATCCATCCGTGTCGTTGAACAAAGAAAAAGTTAGTCGTGAAATTAGAGAAAATAACTAGCAGTTTGTGAGAAAACGCAAGAGCTACGGAGCGGGAACTTTTCGGATTTGAACTCAGCGTGTTCGACAGTGTTAGTTCCCGTAAAAGGCCACAGCAAACGGCCTATTTCATAATTTGCTTTAGCTCAATTCTTGCTGCACGATTTCATCCTACATACCGGGCTATCTCGCTAAGAGGGCCAGCCCGGTTTCTATATATATAACAGCCCCTAATACTAAGTTTTATGGTTACCTACCCAGATGAAATTGTTCATGGTGTTTGCTAGGGCCTGCATGGTGATATCGGACATGAGAAAAGATCTCCTTTCTTTTGGCACTTTTGCCTTCCAATAAGGCCCAGGGAATTATACATGAAAACGCTCTATACTGACCGGTTTTGATAGCAAACACCATGCATCGACAATTTCATTATTATTGTATAGACTGTCAATTAAAGGCGAACATTTTCCAAGCCTTTCGAGGTTTCCAAGTAGCCGTAAATATTGATGTGAAGGCAATTTATTTTGTTTGCGCCGAAAATACTGTCATTATTTATGTGAATATTCTATTATATAATTCGAAAAACGCTCAATCAATTCAAAGTAGGGTACATATTTATAAAGTTGTCATTCGGTTCGAGTTTTGAATTAATTTGATTGGTCATTTAAATGACCAGCTGTTGTTCCACACAATAAAACCGGAAGCTTACTGTTACTCGGTCGAAAGGTGTATCAAAAAGTGTGTAAAAGTGGGAAAGGTGTGTAATCAGCAAAGGTGTGTAATTTTACACACCCAATGGTGTGTAATCGTACACACCTAAGGTGTGTAATCGTGTATTCGTGTGTATACAAGGTGGGCATGTTGTAAAACATGGACTGGACCCCAATCTCGTTCCCCGAGCATGCCCTTTCGCAGGTTAAGGGTGGGCATAGCTCTGGAGAAATCGAATTGATTCAGGCCTGTGATTGGCTAACGGCAGATATTACGTTGGATTTCCAACGTGAGTTCTACGCATGCTTGGCAATTGCAGCAAAATATAAACAAAGTATTCGTAATTTCTCGTCGAAAATTTGATACTTTTTACACTGAAATCGATTGAAAACAACTAGAAATTCTGGAGGAAATATGTACGAAAGCCTCGGATTGATAGGGATACAACTAAATGAAAAATACAAGGAGAACTTCGACGTTTCGAGCGAAGGCGCTTCGACTTGTTTGTATACATCGTACTTGGCCTTTTATATACTGTCACACCTAACACTACGTATACCATAAATTCTGACAGGAGAGTTACATGTAAATTTTAATACTTATTATTGAGGAGATTATATATAATACTTATTATTGAGATTATATTTATCATACAAACACTAACAG